GACTCACCGCTGAGCAGCCTTACAGATACATATTATAACATTGGCTTCTCGAAAATATTAAAAGGACGTCTATAAGGGTTGTGTTAAAGTAACTCAGTTGTAAAAATATAGTTTTTCTTTCTGTTGTTAATTAAGCTTAGTGAAATAGCTGATCTAGTGTGCTTGTGTTGCAATGCCTGCTTGGATGCGATCACATCCAAGGAACACAGGATGAGCACACCTGCTACAGATATTCCAACTATCAGCACTCACCTTCTGAAGACAGCATGAACTAAGGCCCAAATGTGAAGGTTATGATAAAAATGGACTAAAAGAATAACCAAGGAATCTGCATGCCCTAAAAAAGCAGACCTGAGGAGGAGATATGCTAAACAGTTCTTGGAATATATAAATTAGATTTAGGAAAAGTTTACTTCCAATGTAAGTTTAATAAAATTCACTTTTATTAGATATTATAATAATTATTAGAATCATTAGAATTTTATAAACTTTACTTACAATTATAATATACCCTTAATACGGCATAATTGTTTATGAATATAGAACAGGCTGATGAATTGGAAATGGTATCTCAAGAAGGTTTCCAAAGTAGCAGGGGAGTTCTTGGCCATGTGTGAAGAAACAGCACGGCTATAACATCTTTGCTTGATGGTTGTTGTCTCCTATTGCCCTTTATTAAACTTTTAAATTTTCACAGGAGACTGGACGAGTGTTTCACAGGAAATTGGTCAGTGCATCCTCTGGCAGGAATTGGGAAAGGCGCTGCGCTCTGCAAGTCTCCCCGGCAGCTGCCGAATACAAGCCAGAGATCTTTCCTAATTCTTTATGTCCCTGAGACCTCTTTCCTATTTCTCTACCTCACATTTCTTGGTCACTACTATCTTCATTAAAAAGATGTTCAATAAAATCCGTGGGTTGCAGTGCTGTGGTCTCATTTGCACCTTCCCTGGGGTAGAGGTGTCTCTCCCTCCTGGGACTGCAGCCCATGGCCAGGGTCCCTACATATTCAGACTTAGGGTACACGGAATATTACTTTTGAGAAGTTTTGATCCTTAGGTGGACACTGCTTTTAATCTTCAATTATGTGGAAACCTTCTAATATTTTGTGATGAATTGGAATCTAGGAGATTTAGGGGTCTTGCCATCAGGGGAACCACAGGAGGCGCTTCCACACCTTTTCCCCGCAGTCGTTCTGGGATTCTCTCAGGGATTCTCACTTTCCTTTTCTTCTTCCCACAGCTTTGAGCGGGGAATGGACTGGAAAATGTCCAGCAAAGCCACCTCTGCTGTCTGCTCTGGTAGCCTACCACACAGCTTCTGCACCTTGCCCCCTGCCCCTGCACAGCTCCCTGGGGAAGCAGGGCATAAGCAGCCCCTGGGAGCCTTGGGAATTCCCCTCTTGGATCCATGGCACGCTCCCGAATGATCTGGAATTTCACTTTACGTGGCACGGCACTCCACGTTCCTCCCAAGAAACCTCAACTGGATCAAACCCACCATCCTCCACATTCCCTGGGAGTTCACCCCATGTCCCCCCCCCTGTCCCTGTCCCCCACGTGTCCCCACCCATGTCCGTGTCCCCTGACGTCCCCATCCACGCCCGGATCGCCACCATATCCCCATTCATGGCTCTCCCCCTCCCCAGCTGCTGCGGTGCCGGATTCCTTCAGCCCGGT